ATCGCAGTCGCTGCTCTCGTGCCTTCAGCTGGATCGGAGCCGTCTGTGTGACCGCTCTGATGTCCTCATTTCTGACTCTGTCGAGTCGTGTCCAGCCGCAGGCCCATCTCAGCATCCTCATTTCAGCTGAGTGGAGCTGCCTTTCATGGTTCTTGCAGATGGGCCAGCACTCACTGCCGTAGAGCATTGTAGGCCTTACCACCGCCCGGTACACCTTGCCCTTGAGCGTTCTCGAGCACAGGATGCCAGTGGACTCCCTCCATTTCATCCAGGCTGCGTTGATTCGGGCCGTCACCGCCTGGTCCACGCTGCATCAGCTGCTAGGTTGCTCCCCAGGTACTGGAAATCCTCGACCCTTTCCAGTGTTCTCGCCAGTGGTAGTCCACGATGGGGTTTACGGTCGCCACTCTTCGCAGAGATCATGAACTTGGCCTTTCATCACGTGTTCAGCCAGCAGTCGATTCTCAGCGATGCACATCCTCCACCCGCTACACTTGTCCTGGAGTTCCTCCCTGCTGTCCGCTATCAGGGCGATGTCATCAGCGTAGAGGATGGTTTTCAGTGGCCCCTCCATGAGTTCTTTTGCCATGCATTAGTGTCAGGAGGAAGAAGGAACTGGGCTGAAAGCTGTTCTTTGGTGTCCCCATACCGTAGTGTTTACCTCGTCGTCCACCCGGGGTGCGTACCGCAGCTCTAGCCCATCCTAATTATCCGTTACACTATGGACCAGGTTGCCTCCGGAACGCTACGTTCTACTGAAGCGCTTCTCCAAGTACAGGGCCCGAGCAGACGGTTCGAATGCCTTCTCAAAGCCGCTCCAGGAAGTTTAGAGCGGGTCGCATCTTCTCTCTGTACCTTTCCATCAGCTGCTCTGGCGATGAGATGGCATCAGTGGTGGCTTGGACTTTCGGGCATGAGACCGAACTGCGTCCTGCGACGATTAGGGACAAGTCCGTCAGCTCTAGTGTTGACAGGCGCCTCGTACAGCTTCACGGCTGATGGCGGCAGTAAACTTTCAATGCCCGGTAGTTGAGCACTCCGTCGCTCCCTTCCCGTATGAAAGATGGGGACGATTGTGCTGCTCCTCCACGCATCGGGCATCCTTCCTTCAGCCGTTACATTGTTTAGGAAGTCTGTTAGCCAACTCACCCCAAGCTCTCCCAGGGCCTTCCATGCCTCTATCGGTACCCCGTCTGGGCCCACTGCTTTCCCAACTTTCATTCTTCCTAGCTCACGGCGGACTTCATCTCCGTCCAGGGGGTGATGGGGCCTGCCGTTGCCTCTATCAGTGGTCTATTCTCTTGCGGGGGATTCTTCGTTCAGTAGTCCCTCGAAGTATCCTTCCCACCTCTTTGACATTTGGCTGGTTCCTTGGGAATGGCCCGTTGCGGCTCTTTCACAGTCACGCCCCTGATGTCCTGACCCGCGCGATGCCGAGCCTTGGCCAAGCGGAAGACGAACCTGTCCCCCTTCTCGGCTCTCCAACTTCTCGTACACGGCGTCCATTTCCGTATTCTTGGCCTTAGCAACGCATTGCCCTTAGCGGAGTTCGCCTTGTAGCAGCGCAGGTCTTCATGTACTCGTCTGTCTTTGGATTAGGTTTTGTTATGCTTCCTTCTTCTGCTTCAAGATCCCCTGGACTTCCTCGTTCCAGAACCAGGTTGCCTTGCCTCCTCTGATGCCACCCCACCGCGCGTCTCTGCCAGGACTACCTTTGCACACTGCAGGATGACCTCGACTGCGTGGGTCCAGGTGTCCTGGACTGGTCCATGTCGGTCTGGGAGCCCAGCCTCCAATATTCTTCTTCGGCCGAGGCTATCCTGTTTTACCTTGCGCATTTTCCACCTCGAATTTCGCGCTCTGCTTCGACGCCTCGTCTTCTTGGGGAAGGTCTATGGCGATGTCTGCAGGAGAGGCCTGTGCTGAGGGCCCAGCTCTTCCCCAGGCAGTACCTTGATATCCTTGACGGTTTTGAGAGACGATCTTCTGACCAGGACATGGTCGATTTCCGTTTGTCTCCCTCCACTGCTGTAGGTTATCTTCTGAGTTCCTTTTCGCGAAGAAGGTGCTACAGACTTTTTAGTCGTGGCTGTTCTCCCTCACTGTAAAAGAGCTATTGAACTCTTCTCCTGATCTCGCGGGCCCTTCGACACCCTTCATCCGTTTCCTGAAGACATAGGACTTGAATTTTCCTCCGTTCCTGAGATCGGCACCTCACGAGACATCGCGCGTAGGCGACCCACGTTCAGGGTCCCAGTTTGAACTAACTCCTTTGGCCGAGGTATTTAACCCCTCGGTAGCCCTCGCACACTCACCACAGAACTCGGGCGAGGGTCTGTCGCCACATCCGGGTGACGTCCTAGCTTTAACACTGATACTTTTGCGACTTGTCATGATTGTTGTGACGGGTTCCTCCATCAGCCGGCCTGTCAACCTGGGCCTGACGCTGGTATCGTCCCCATTTTTGCAATTTTTGCAAGGCAGGTTTGTGCCTCGGCAGGGATCGAACTCGTGGCTCAGGGTGAGATATGAGTCTACACTCTTAACCACTCAGGCTACCTCTGCCTCACCTCCCTCTCCTTCACGGACCAACGTAAATACCGTTGAAGAATCCTTAACGCTGCACTTGACCCTGTTGCCAAATCATGCTAGGAAAAGCTCGAAAGTGCAAAAAAACAGTAGCTTCCAACAAAACAATAAAATACATACTTTTATTATGAATTATTTCATCTAAATACTTTTCTGATGGACGTGGCGATAGACAATTCAGCAAATGTGTATTCCAGCTGGCTTGTAGATTGATTCTGAAAACCGGTAGTTGGGTGAAGTCATTGACAAGACCAGGAAGGCATTAAAGAGAAGTCATTCCTCATCCCCACTCAACAAAATGTACATATTATGTTGCAATTGTAGTTGATGGGGCCACGTGGTGTCTCTTCCACGTCCTGTAGCTGAAAAAGTTCCGCGAAATACGACCGGCCCCCTATGTACAGTCGTACTGGCTTGTCCCACTTTCATACCACATGAAGCGCGAAAAAAGCACGAAAAGTCAACAGCCGGTGAACTTTCTCGCGCGCGGAAGAATTTTCTTGTGTCTAGAAACAACCACCCCACCCCCCCCCTTCCCCTACGCAGTGGGAGTCTCCCAACGATGTAAATAGCGCGCACGAAACAAAAAAGTCCACTGCCAGAAAGTTTTTCCCGCCGAATACAATCCCTCCCTCCGGCGACCATATGCAACTTCCTCCCCCGTGTGCTTAGAATTCCCAAGCGTGCCCTGCTTCCAGTTCGCTCTCCCAGCAGGGAATAAAATTGTTGGGAAAATCCGATTACAAGGATTGTTCTCAATAGCTGGGTAGCTATTCGTACCGGAAGAAAAAATCCCACGGGTGGGGAAGGGCCTGCTGACAACGCCATCACACATCACGATGGCGCACCCTATCCCCGCGATTCCGCGCGCATGCTTTGCTCGTTGAGCTCTACCAATTTCAAGCAGTAGGGGTGAGGGTCTATTCGTCATGCAGTCGCGTAGCCCCCATCAACTCCAACGGCCTCCAGATTCTTACAAGCAGTAGCAAATAATTTGAGAAAAGAAGTCATGACAGTAGTAAGGAAACACTGTGACATATTATGGTAAAATAATGAAATTGCAACGGAAGTACCCGAAATAAAGCAAAAACCCATATTTAAGGTTGCACACACATTTCATAGTCGGTGGTGAGCGAGTAACGCCTAAATCGCGCGACCTAAGCGATCTCTTGACTCCCAAAGTGCAAGATTGTTACCTATGTAGTATTAACATGTTGTGGATTCCATGGACTCTGAAGGAACCGTGAAATGTGAATGCACCCTGAGGGGTTATGTGGGAGGCGACGTAAGAGACTATTAACCAAATGAAAGCTCGCTAGGTCGGTCGCCTTTTATAGTCTCGTAGACCACAAACTCAATCAATGCTGAAGAAGCCCTATGACCTACCAGCAGGCTTTTCCAAATTCCAGAATCACACGTTGTCATGGGTTTCCGCGACAGAACGCTGATTACCTTATATCATCTACCCTTCTGGTATGAGCCGTGCTGTCAACGTCCACTCAAAATTGATTACGTGGCTGGATTGTGTGGGTATTCGACTCGCACAAAGTGGTTCTAAAACCTAGGTGATGGCAAAATGCCCACCTTCGCCCTCCTAGGCAGCCCTGATACCATTGGGTCCCGGAGAAAAAAAGGACGAGAAACTGGAGGAGATCCTATTTCAACGCACTGCGAAGGTGACGACGCTTGTAGCTCCTGCGCCATCTCTGTTTCATCGAATAATGGGCCTCTCGAAGCTTGTTCGCCTCTCAGAGCCCCACTGTTCAAAATACCAGCCAGATTTTGATCGACATTTTTCTCGTAGGTGCATTTGACTGGAATTTTCCCCGGGGTACTTTGACCTCAGTATCGCGTCCGCTTGGCTCCGAACCGCCTACCACTCGTGGCACAGGCGCCGCCGTAAAATATCTCGATGCACCAAGATTGTTAAAAAGTTGTCCCCTGGGTTATTTTTCCTCCTGAACACGAATATCACACTAGCTCCCCGTGAAAACGCTCCGAACGAAAAATGGGTGCCAGAGCCACATATGGCGCTGACGCCCGTGGCGCAGAAGCCAGGCGCCTTCGCGTTAAACGGATGTGATACCCATGTTCTGGAGGAAAATTACCTCCGCGAACCAAGTTTCAGCCGAATCTAATCTAGTAGGAAATTTTTGATCAAAATCTAGCCGAGATTTCGGAGTGGGACAGAAACTGTGGATATTGCCGAAAAATGTGGCGCAGTTTGGTTTGGTGGGTGCACTGAATCGTACTCTCAGCTAAGCCTGTACAGGCCACCTTTGAACACCTGTGAACTTCTGCAACCAAAGCGGTCTAACCACCAAAGTGAAACCTGTAGCAGTCAACATGAACTGATAGGAGAACTAACGTAGGTCTAAAATGCCCCTCTAAGTCGAACAACTCCAGAAATGTTACCACACGAACGTGAACAGTTTACCTTTGATACTGGCCAGAAACGAGTAATAGGTAAGCTGTCCGGTTACCGCTCCTGGTTTTGCGGGATTTTTCCGCGTAGTCGTTACACTAAATCCGTCTGGACCGATTGCTTCAACTTCAACGACGTGCCAGTCAGTCATTCTGAAACGGAAAATCATCGAAGTTTCCAGCTAAGAGATCTTGCAAAGCAGTCACAAACACCGCACTTTGGATCACTGACGAGTCTAGCGGTAACCCCGTCAAAGCCCAGATTGTGAGCTGCTATAGCTCCTCCAGCCATCGTGTTAACATTATTCGGTGCCAATGGGCACAAGCCACGCACGGGTCCTGCAACGAAAACTTCCCTAGTGAAT